GAATACACAGAAGCGCGAATACCACTATTTACTATCAATCTTGCTAAAGACACCACTTTTGTGTTCACTACATCTACAGAAAAAACTATTGGAATATATCGGGACTGGATCGCTTCCCACGGAGAAGAAACCAGCTGGCGGTTATCCAGTTTGAAAACACTCATTGAGAGAGTTTTGGAGTTATAAGAACTTTTGACTTTGCACATCCTTAACAGAGATAAATTAAGTTCTCCTCATATTTTTTTTTATTTATGACCTGATTTTTAAATAATTAAGTTTATTGGTCGAATCAGATTTATTAGGTTCAAAGGAAATTAAAGCGATTTATAATACTTAAAAATATGATGTTAGCAATATACAAGAGTTAAAATCGGCTTAAAATATAAAAAAATCTAAATGAAGATTGACTCTGGCCTTTTTAAGGAAGCTCAACAAAGAGAAAATTTTGTTTACGCCAACCTCCCCGCCAAGTAAGCTTTCAAACCAGGGGATGTATGTATGTAATTAACTTTGTTTTTGCGAATGGATATACCATCATCAAACCCATGCCCACGTGTCTTCATATATGTATGTTGAAAATTTTACTTCAGGATATTTGATTTACTACTGAGCAGAAGCATAAAGCCGATTGATTTGAAGTTAACTTCCGGTAGTAAACATTTACATTCGAATGGAAAAACATTTTCCTACACCTGGGAGTGATTGAGTAAAAAGAGCTTATTTGTATTCAAAATGTGAAAGCAGTGATGCACAAAAGGCAAGGGGAAAAGCTAGTAAAATAGGAAACGAGTTATGTTGGCTAAATGAAAATTTATTGGAACCAATAAAAGATATTCTCTTGTAGCGGAAATATCGTAGGAAGTAGAAAATTAAGTAAGTAACTGACTTGAAAGTAAAACCACCGGGTTGTTGTGTTAGATTTGTACCGTAATTGAAATAAATAAATAAATAAAATAAAGTGGTGATAAAGCTTGTGCTCAAAATCCATCAGCACACAACTCAAGAATAAATGTGCCACAAATTGCTTATTCCCTTGAACTGATTTATTTTTTCAATAAACTTAATTTTTTTATATACAGTACCGCTCAGCAAAATAGGTGCAACAGTTACAATTTGCATGCACCGATGCAAAAAAATTGAAATAATTGGTAGTAAAAACAAAATGGGCCTGAAATGCCTCCTTAATTGGAAATTAATTGCACACAACCTATTCTGGTGAATAATTAAATTAAAAGTTTTATATAATAATTATAACACCGTACGACAAAAACAAAAAAAAAATCAAAACACGCGAAACAATCGATATACTTACGAAACTATGGGCCAAATATAGTCAAAGAGCGTTTTTAGTTTTTCACTCTGATGTCAGGACTTTTTTTTAAAGGACTTTGAAATTTTAAAGATATGATTAATTAAAAAAATTATTTTAAGAAATCCGTGCAATGTAGAATAGCAATATGGGTACCAAATTAGAGCGAAAATTCTGTAGAATTATAACACAATAAATTTTGAAATAATAATATTTTTTAAATTTCAAACTCCTTTAAAAAAAAATCGTGACGTCGAGAAAAACTAAGTACGCAGTTTTACTATAATTTAGTCCATAATTTCGCGAATATATTAGTTTTTGTGTGTGTAAAATTTACTGCCGCACGGTGTAATGAAACCAGAATTTCTGCCAATGTTTGCTAATTTTTCGTGTTATTGGTTTGTGAATTGAACATGATTTTTCCCTGCTTTTACAAAAACCAATTTCGGACAATTTAGCAAATGTAATTATTCTGTGGAGTGGGAATATACCTGGCTAGTTGGAATTCTTCGTGAGCAAGAACTGAAACATGTTTTCAATTTTGTTGACGAGATTTAATGTTTTAGTGGTGGATGCTGCTTCATCAGCAAAAATCTTCAGAAAAATTAATCGATATTGCGCCAATGCAGTAAAACTCATAATTCGAAATGAAGGTTGCACTGCTGCTGAATGTTAAATGCGCACATTGTACATACATATGTATGTATGTGGGTGAGTAAAGCCACAAAATTCGTAGAAACGAGACATTTGTGCAGTATGTTAGCACATCTACATGGTATAAACAGGGTTG